TTGGGTTCCTGCTGGCCTGTGTGGCCACTGCTATATTCGTCATCACAAAGTGTTGTCTGTGTTTCTGCTGGATGATTGCTACAGCAGGAAAGAAGAAGAAAAGGGAATAATTAGATCTAGGTTTGAAGCTGAAATCCCTGAAAGATGGGAATCCTTCAGTTGATTGCAGCAAGAAGAGTTTGTGATGTAAGGTTACCTTCCTCTTGTGACCACTTGCCTTTTCAGGATGTAGTTTGTCAAATCAAAGTTTGTTTATGTCACAGTTGATACTTTGTTAAAAGTTAGAAATATTTTAATGTGAAGAGAAAAGACAAGCTGGGGGAAAAGTAAAAAAATTAAATATGATATGGGTTTATGTAGACATGTACTATTCCAATTCAGAAATCATATCGAAAATATTTATCAACCTTTTTCATTTCCATATTGTACCTGAACATGAGACCATCAATACTTCCTGGCTTAGTTAATATTGTTTTACAGATGCTTAAAATTCTTTCCATCATTTAGGTATAATATTTCATTGTTTTAATTTCTGTTGAAAACTGTCCAAGCCTTACACACTGCTCACAACCCTGACTGGTGTGCTCTGCTGGGTCAGGCTCTCAGAGTTAAAATGTGCTTCTTCTGCATCCCTGGGAGCCCAGACTCACAGGAACTGCTAGATTGCGAGTGGGAGGACCCAGATATGCAATCAAGGCAACAACACTATTGGGCAGCTCTTCCCCAGGGCTTTAAAAACTCCCCTCCCATTCTTGGGGAGATTCCTGCAAAAGACCTCTGAGACCTCAGTTAAATCATAGGACCTTACTGCAATATGTTGATGACATTCTACTTGTCGGCACTGCAAAAAAAGGCATCCAACAAGAGCACTATTCTAACTCTAAACTTCCTGGCTGTATCCAAGGAATCCAAGTATATCTAGTTCTTGGCTGTATCCAAGGTATCCAAGAAAAAGGATAAGATTTTACAGCGTTCAGTTAAATATCTTGGGTTCAGGTTTTCCCAGTGACAGAGAAACCTGCCCCCTGATTGGACGGAGGCCCTTGGCAGAGCAGCCAGATCTCTCAGTTGACAACAGCTGTGGAGTCTGAGACGTGGCCAGTTTCTGTCACATCTGGATTCCTAAGTTGGTACTTATTGCTAAGCCTGTGTAAGATGCCTTAAGGGGAGGAGTTAGAGTTAGAGTTAGAGTTAGAGTTAGAGTGAACAAAGGGGGGGATGGACAAAGGGCTTTCTGAAATATCTAGGAATAACTCTTGAGTGCCCCAGCATTGGGGCTCCCAGATATAGGAAAACCTTTTGATCTTTTTGTGCATAAGAAACAAGGACTGACTCTAGGAGTGCTGACTCAGCACCTGAGAAATATTAAGATACCCATTGCTTATTTCTCAAAGCAATTGGACATTGTCACAAACGGATGACCTTCTTGCATTCGGGCTATTGCTGCCGCTTCTTACCTGAGTCAAGAGGCAGAGAAGATTACAATAGGCCAGCCCAGGACTCTGCAAACCCCACTGTGTGTTCCCCTTACTGGAACAGACAGGAGAATACTGGCTGGTCTCTGGGAAGCTAGAGAGATATCAGACCATCCTTGTGGATACACGAAATATAACACTGAGAGCAGTCTCTACCTTAAATCCTGACACCTTAATTCCCCAAATGCCATCTGAATGTGTGCATGACTGTTTACAAGTAATTGAATGAGTTGATTCTAGCCAGCTGGATCTGACGCACCCCTAGGAAAACACAGACCTAGAGATATTTCCGATGGAAGCAGCTTTATGGACCAGGGACAATGGAGAGCTGGGTATGCAGCGATAACCCATCAGCACATATTAGGGCTGAAGTCCTCCCTTCTGGAACCTTGACACAGAAGGCAGAACTCGCAGCCCTTGTCTGGCACTTCAACTAGATAAAGGCACACAAGTGACCATTGCCTGGACTCCAGGTATGCTTTTCTTGTTGTTCAGGTGCATGGAGCCATATGGAAAAAAGGGTGCAAAACCGGGTGCAAGTGGTCAAGCTAATGGTCTTAAGCACCCAATACCAAACTTTAAGGCCAGTAATAGTGAAATAAAATATACAAAATAAATCCTAGCCTTGCAAGATGCCGTTTTAGCCCCCGAGGAAGTAGCTGTAGTTCAATGCCTTGGTATGCAGCAGACAGACGGCTGGTGGCAAGGGCCATCATCAGGCTAGATGATCACCCTAGAGCCAACCTGGAAGGGACCCTATACTGTGATATTGGTTACCCCCACTGTGGTCAAAGTAGCAGGTGTCACCCCATGGATCCACCATTCCCGAGTGAAGCAAGCCGAGACAGATGTTGCAACCAGTCATTGGACGGTGCAACGAGGTCAACAGGACCCGCTGAAGATCCAGCTCAGACACTTGTCTACAAGTTGGCCCTGAATATGGCTGGACTCAATGGGACCACTGGTCTGGACTGTCATGGGAATTGGACTCGGGGCCTTCGCCCCAAGAGACTGGACTAACTTGCTTTGGTAATCCTTTTCTGGGTTTATATGGGGTGCCTCTGTGTTCTTGGTTGGGGCTCTCTGGGGAAGAATATGTAAACCAATCAGGAATTGTAACTACCTAAGTCAAAGGGCTATGGTAACCATGGGGCCCAATGTAGTTATTAGATTCATAGAGAGGTTGATGCCTCTGTGTAAACTGATACGGGCATCAAAAGTGGGGAATGATGCAGAAAATGTTGGGTGCCGGGAAGCGGCCATCTCCCTGTTGGTCTGCATCTCTGCAGGCCAGTGCTGCACATGGCCAGTTGGAGGACACACTGCTGGGGCCAGGCCCCACAGCACACAGCAGTCCTGGACCCCGAGTGCCGCCGGGACTCCGCATGCCGGAATGCCCCCAGACCCACGGGCCACTGCCTATTTCCTGCCGTGCTGCTTGGGTGATCCTGATTGGTTACTTTTTGAATCCCACTGTTGTTGATTGGATGTTAAAGCCTGTTGCTGATTGGATGTTAAAGCTTCTAGTTGATTGGACGCTTTTGAGCCCTACCAAGGGTATAAAAGCAGGGGCAGAAGGGCAGGAAGGGGGAGGACATCGGAAGACACGAAGAGAGCTGTAACACTAGGTGTGCTGAGCCTGCTATAGAAGAATAAAGGCTTTTCTCCGACTCCTTGTGTGCCGCTCGGTTCTTTCCCCAGTCAAATGAATAAGAGCTGTAACGCTAGCTGTACACACTGCCACATCATCATAATGAACCGCATCATGGCATTTGTGCAAAACCGGGTGCAAGTGGTCAAGCTAATGGTTTAACCACCCAATACCAAACTTTACCAGACACAGATCCCCTGGTAAAATCAAGGATTTGATTAGCTAATAAGACCAGTGGGGAATGAAGTAGATAGATTAAAGATGGCTCCTATAGACCTAAAATGGAGTCAGTCTTGCTCCAACTATTAGTAAAAGTCCTGATGTAGGAAAGTTCCCAAAGGAGGGAGGAGAAAGTCGAGGAGGCCTGTTCTCAAAAAGAATAGAGAGCTCCAGTTCCTAAATGTCCCTTAGTGTAACTTTCCATTGTTCGCTTAACTAAGGGCTAACCGCAGAGCTCTGCTTCTGTGATTGCTTGCTTGCATAGCTGCCAGCCCGCAGGGCATAAGAAAAAAGGCAAAGGGCTTTGTTCGGGGCTGTTTCTCCTTTCTTGCATAGAGTGGAGACAAACCCTGTGCAGGTAAAGATAAACTAATTTGGTTGATTGGATTCTCGTGTCCGAGTCCCCTGATCTGCTGGTTTACAACAACTCCGCCCCTCCAAGGGCAGGATGTGTCTAGCTGGTATGAAGTGCACACCCCACGGCTGCTGGGGAAGCGCTGCCCAAGGCCACCGAGGGTCTCAGACCAGAGAGTGACTTATCAGACTACTCAACCATTCCAGGCATGGGGTCTGTCCCTTCACAGGAAATGACAGAGGCCCCGTCCAAGCTGAGGGCCTTCCATCACTTGGACAGATCTCAGACCAGAAAGCGGTTTCCATGGCTGCTCTGCCCTTTCACAGTTAGGTCTGTCCCTCCAGCGGGAGGCACCGGAAACTGAGTCACCGCAGCAAAGGGGCAGCCACAGGTCTTGGCTTAATTAGCAATCACCTTCAGTACTCGACCCTTCCAGGATGGAGGGGGGTGTCTGTCCCTTTGACCCAAAACTCAGGCCGCTGGGTGGGATGGGTGTCGCTCAAGATTGCATGGCAACTCACTCAGGAAAGTGGCTTCTCTCCTTTTTCCACCCCTTCAAGGGTGGAGTTTTCCCTGCTGGTGAGAAAAGCCAGAGGCTGGATTGGGACAGGAATGCTCAGAAAGCGACTTCTCTTGTCATCCCCTCCTCGAAGGGAGGTCTGCTCTCCCTGGCAGGGGAAGGGGCGTGGCCTGAGTCTGAACATGGCAGCTGCCCACCTACAGAGAGCCAGCACTGCAGGCCACAGTTCGGTGGGTGGCATGTGCTGCTTTGGCTCCCTGTCTCTAAGCCTGCTGAGCCCCGTGCTCCTTGACTCGCTGACTCACAGCTGTTCAGAAGGAGAGGTCTGTACTCCCTACCATGCTGAGCCAGTTGCATCTTTGGCACTTTACAAGGGCAGAGCCTTCTTTTTGGGGTCCGCCTCCCTTGTTCTGGTCCGGGGGTGGGAACCAGAGACGACGTGACTATCTGCGAGCTCCGTCCTGAGGACCCCAGAAGTGTCCACTCAGACCAGTCCCTGCCCCGTGCAGTGTGGGCCCAGCTCAGCGCACTGGAGAGTTCAAAGTGGTTCCCCTTTTTTCCTCTTCTCCACACTGCACTTCACCTCCTGCTACAACTTCGCGCTGACTTCAGGTGCGTCCCTGCCTGAGTGGATGTGGAGTCGGTGGAGGAAGAGTCGTCCCCCTGTGGGTCAGACCACACTGCCCCCGCCAGTCAATGGGCGTGGCTGTCCCACACTCTGTTCTTACAGTTCATCTCCCACTCTCCAGACTCTGTGGTTGATTTTCTGACTCACTTTGTTTATTCCAGCGCTGCTCATCCCGGCTGCTTCTCTGCAGGTCCAGGATGCTGATCCTGTGGGAGAGGGAGCCACTGCGTGTAGCTTTCCACGTCCTTCACCTCCTCCTGTGGGAGCAGAGAGCCAGGTGGTCACCCCTAATCCACCATACTCTGACCCCTGAACTAATTATTAAAAATCAAACAGAAATTCTGGAGTTGAAAAAGTCAATTGACCAAATAAAAGAAAGCATCAAAGTCTCCTAACACCAGAAGTGATCAAGCAGAAAAACAAATTAGTGACCTTTAAGTAGGTTATATGAAAATACACAATGAGAAGGGAAAAAAAGAATGAAAAAGAATTAAGCATGCCTACAAGATTTAGAAAATAACCTCAAAGAGGCAAATCTACGTGCTCTTGGACTTACAATGGAGGAGGACAAAGACATTGGAATAGAAATTTATTCAACGAAACGATGACAAAGAACTTTCCAAACTTACGAAATATATCATTATTTAGGTACAAGAAAGTCATAGAACACCAAGCAGATTTAACCCAAATAATAAATACCTCAGGGCATTTAATAATCATACACCGAAATGCTGAGAAACCTGGACTCCAACTCCTGGACAAAAGCCATCCTCCCACATAAGCCTACCAATTAGCTAAGACTACAAGCGCATGTTGCCACACTTGGCTAATTCATTCTTGGTTTGTTTTCTAGAGACCTGCTTTCACCATGTACCCCAGTCTGGTCTGGGAATTCTGGTCTCAAGTGATCCTCCCGCCTTGGCCTCTGAAAGTGCTGGGATTGTAGGCCTGAGCCATCAAGCATGCCCACATTTCTGGCTTTTGGCAATGGTGATGAAATTATTTAATGGAAAAAGAGCACATTAGTTTACAAATGATGCTGGGAAAACAGATTATCCACATACAAAAAAATAAAGTTGAACCTTCTAATTCAAATCATTTACAAAAACTAACTCAAAATACATAAAAGAAATTTAAGTCTAAGTGCTAGCACTATAGAACTCTAAAAATAAATGATAGAAATTAACCTTTGTAACGTTGGATTTCTTATTAGTTTCTTAGACATAACACCAAAAGCAAAAGCAACCAAATTAAAATTTCTCAATTCAACTTCATCAAAAAAGCACTTTGTGCTCCAAAGATCCAGAAAGTGAAAGAAAACACTAGAATGGGACAATATAGTCACAAATTATGTGTCTAATGAGGAACAATTATCAAAAATATATTTGAAAATACAATTCATAAACAAATAAGTAAATCAAAAATGGGCTAAACATCTGAATAGAAATTTCTGTCAAGAAATATATACAATAGCTGATAAGGAACAAGAAAAGAAAGAAAGAAGAAAAAAGTCTCCACACCTTTAGAAAATAAGGAAATGTAAAACATAATGAGATATCACTTCACTCTCACTGGTTACAATCAAAAGATATATAATTAAAAGTTCTTGCAAAGATGTGGAGAAACAGAAACCCTCAAACATTGCTGGTGGCAATGGAAAATGGTGCCACCATTGTGGGAAACACTCTAGCAATTCCTCAAAACGGTAAACATACAGGTAGCATATGACCCAATAGCTCTACTTCTCGGCATATACCCAAGAGAAATCAAAATATGTTCATACAAAGCTTGTACATGAATGATAATAAACAACATTATAATGATGTGAATAAATAATAAATAACATTTGTGCATGTTAATAACTTTTGGCATTCATAAAAGTCAAAATTGAACAAAAGATGTCGTTTAATTGACAAATGAATAAATAAAATGTGCATATCCACATGGTAGAATACTATTTGGCAATAAAAAGGAATGATGTCCCCATATAAGGAATACCATGGGTGACCCTTTTTAAACATTATGCTAAGTGGAAAATGCAACTCGCGAAAGACCACATAATTTATGATTCCATTTATCGAATTGTACAGAAAAATAAAATTTATAGTCAAAGAAATTAAATTAGTAGTTGCTTAGAGCAAGTGGGATGGAGAAATTCAGTGCGGAAATTAAAGCTAAAGTGCACAGAGATTCATTTTGGGAGATAAAACTATTTGTTGTAGTGGTTGCACAATTCTTTGAGTGTCTTTTGAAACATTTAATTTTAATCAATCATTGGTTAATCTTTTGGTATACACATTACATATCAAGAAATTTTTACCAAAAAAATCTTTGATCCATGATACAGAAGAAATAATGACTCAGCTGTACAATTACTTTATTTCTACTTTTGTGTCATGGGACTGCAGACCCAGGAGCCTCTCACTTGCCACTATTTTTGACAGTCCCCTAACATATATTATGTAACAGCTTACTTGCACCGCAATGTCATCAAAATCAGCTGGAGTACAGCACTTACAAACAGAAAACGGACATTAAACACACTTGAGTAAATAAGAGCGCATCTACCTTTGGCTTCTCCACTTAAAAACCACAAGTTCACATTGTTCAAATGCTGTATTTAGTTTTACGTATATGAGTCAAATTTTAACTGGATTGATTTATCCTTGGTTGTAAGCATGAGAAATGACAGAAAAGAAAAGCCACTAGAATAAAAAGCATTGCATTTCACCAGGATGGCTATGAAATGGACTTCAGTTCTCCTGCTGATGCAACTGAGTGGTCACTTTAGCTCTGGGACTTGTGGCAAGGTGCTGGTGTGCCCCACAGAATACAGCCACTGGATGAACATGAAGACAATCCTGGATGAACTTGTCCAGAGAGGACATGAGGTGACTGTATTGACACATTCTGTTTCCATTCTCGTTGATCCGAAACAAAAAACCAGTATTAAATTTGAAGTTTTTCCTACATCTTTAACTAAAAGTGATTTTGAAGATGTTTTCAAACAACTGATCGATCAATCGACATATGATCTTCCAAAAGCTACATTTTGGTCATATTTTTCACAAGTACAAGAAATTACATGGAGATATTCTGAAGTTCTAAGAAAGATCTGTAAAGATGCAGTTTTAAACAAGAAACTTATGACAAGGCTACAAGAGTCAAAGTTTGATGTGGTTCTTGCAGATGCCATTATACCCTGCGGTGAGCTGCTGGCTGAGATACTTAAAACACCCCTTGTGTACAGTCTCCGCTTCTCTCCTGGCTACCAATATGAAAAGTCCGGTGGAGGACTTCTATTCCCTCCTTCCTATGTTACCTTATTTTAAGTTATGTCAGAATTAAGTGATCAAATGACATTCATGGAGAGGATAAAAAATATGATATATGTGCTTTATTTTGACTTTTGGTTCCAAACAATTAAAGTGAAGGAGTGGGATCAGTTTTACAGTGAAGTACTGGGTAAGTCATGTTTTTAATTGGTGGTTAATCATTCCTGTCTTTCCTTATGCCTTGGAAGCTGAGCTTGTATGACTATGAATCAGACGAGTGCTAGTTCTGTAAATGCTATTATGAAATGAAAATATAAGATGATATATCAATCTCAGAAATATTATCAAAAATTATACGATCAGTTAGAACCTTGTGGCCACTTCTACAGTATATCCATGCAGTCATAAATGTGCAAATTAAAGCACTTAGCATTTCTTGAAGCAATCTAGTAACTACTTTATTATACATTTTCTTCATCACTAACAAAAGTTAATGGACACATCAAGAAACAACTTGATGAAGGCCGATGTGTAGGTTGAGGAGTTAAACATTGTTCTAGCACAACTATTAATGTAGCATTGAGGAAGTTGCTTCTCCTCGTGTACCTTAATTTCATTATTTGGAAATTAAAATATTTTTTCTATAGAACCAAAACAATTCCTTAACAGCTGAGATACAAGTCTGTCTCAGAAAGGAACAACTGAAATACGAAGTTTACAATCTTTTCATGTTCCTTCACTAAGGGTTTGGAAATTATTTGTTTTAAAGCCTAAAATCTTACTGATGTGTAAACATCCAAGTTTGTGTCTATATTTTATTAAATAATATGTCTATACTATGTAATATCTGACCAAATGAGGGGTAGTAAATTCTATAGATTTCTACAATTTTTAAAGAATTTTAGATTCCATGTATAAATATTATGTATTTATTCTTGAAATACTAATATTATTAAGATCTTCACATGAACCCAAAGAAGTAGTATGTACAAGGATTTCAACAATATTTTCACACAAATTCTTTATAAACTTGGAGAACCAACAAGGATCCTGAGACTACCTTCGTAAATCACTGATACTATAGTCAGTACTTATTACAATGAAGTTTTCATGGGTTTGGTAGGATTAATTGATACCGGAGCTAAAAGATATGTGTAAATGTATATTTGTTAGTACAGCAGCTTTAGAAAACAAGCAAATGCATGGGTAATTCCAGAGTGGCTCATATTTATAATTACTGATGATTGTGAATAAACTGATGTGATATTAGAGACATAGTCTCCTCTGAAAATTTTCTTAGCACTTTGCTTTTTTTATACAAACCTATGAGCAACATATATAGTACATGGGAGTTAAATCATGCCTGTACATAAATATGTGTATATGTTTGTTTTATCAAAACACAAACACTTTATATATCTTTGGCTACATTATTACAACTCCTTTCAGGAAATTACTTTTATATTCTCATGACAACTCTCTTGTGTCGTCTATGTTTTCTATTCCTTCCCCCTTCAGGCAGACCCACTACGTTCTATGAGACAATGAAGAAAGCTGATATGTGGCTTATTCGAACCTATTGGGATTTTGAATTTCCTCGCCCACTCTTACCTAATGTTCATTTCGTTGGCGGACTCCATTGCAAACCTGCCAAACCCCTGCCTAAGGTGAATATATTCCTACTTGTTTGGTTTTGTTTAATTATTGTAAGAGTTGAGGAACACTGTCCCTCACCAATATAAAGGCGTCCCCAAAATATTGACAGCAAAACTTAATGTTTACTTATTTCACTCCAGCATTGAAACCATTCCTCACTGAGAACCCAGAGTTTTACCTCTTAGAGCACCAAAGGGAAGGTTTACCTTATCAGAGCAGGTGTTTCCTGCCCTAGGCCAAGTCTACAGGACACCTCAATAAAGCTGCCTGGGGAAACCTTTGCCTCAACCTCATAATTGCCTAACAGAGAAGCACAGAGAAAATGTGCAGTGCGTATATAATAAAAACCAAATAAATTATGTTACTTGTATCTGAGAAGTGAGCTTAGATTTCAGTTACAAAAGAATTCTTCCAGCATATAAAATAATACTCCTTAGGATGAAACACAACAACCAAATATATTTTACTTTAATATTCTACTTTTAACAGGAAAGGAGAAGTAAGCTTTTTAGTGCACTATCATATTAATGTAATCTGTTACAAGATATTTTTTGTCTACCTTCTATTAGCACCAACATAAAACTGAAATCTTATTCAGAAATAAAACCCACTATTTATGTTGAATGCAAATTTTTAGGGTAATTTTCATAAGGGACTAAAGGAGAGATAAGATTAGTGAAAATTCTAAGCAATCTAAACCTATTAATAAATTTCCCCATTTACTTTAAGGGAAGATGATAGGGCCAGTGAGAGAGGGAAAAGAGTAGGAGAAGGAGGAAAAGGAACAGGACAACTGATAGTAAAATAGTGATAATTACTATTGCTAGCCTTTACTACTAACTTGCATGATAATTTGAATTCAAGTTAAAAGTCGTGAAATGTGTTCTCTAATTATTATACAAGGTAATTATTCCACAAATTGCCAAATTTCTATTAAATATTAAGGTCTGAGTATTTTAAAATAGTAAGACATTTGGCAAAATATTGGAAGCTTATAAAATGTATGTACCTGTCAGTTTCAAAATATACATATGTGAAAAAATACAAACAAAAAATAAATCAAGATAGCAAATTCGATATCTGTGGCAGATATTCATAAAATAAATACTGGAAGTAATTTACATATCTTATATTAAAAGGGAAATATAATAACAGAAGTATAAGAACAAAGTAGAAAACAGTATAAGAAATATAAGAACAGAGTAGAAAACGTCTATTCTGTTCATACCATATTACCACAATAATTTTACCAAAAAGTAATTAATCAGCCATAATGTAAGTTTTGTTGGAAACTGAGGGGCAAAATGATGAAGAGAACAAGATCACAATTTTTTCTGTGATTTCAATTTATATACAATAATACACACTGGAAGCTCTGACTCCAGAAGGGAAGGGGGGGGAAGGAAACACACGTAACCTAAACATTTGTATCCCCATAATATGCTGAAATTTAAAAAAATTTAAAAATGGGGAAAAAAATTTTTTTAAATTGTTAAAGAATTAAAAAAGATTAAAATTTCCTAAACATATATCACATAAATAAATTGAGCTATATAAACAGAATAAAAATCATAATGAAAGCACATAAACTTTTAATTAGCAATATCCATGGACAGAGAGTATGGATGAAACTCAATATCTTTCTATCAATTTTTTATAGTATTACACAATTTCTTACATTGATCTTGTATTATTTTTACAAAGGTGTCACAGAATGAGATCAGTAATGAATCTGCAAAGAGAGGTTGTATTACTTCATACTGAATGAATGGTTTTTATAGGCAGTCAGCCAGTGAGACAAAACATTGAACACAAGTTACACAAAATGCAGCTTCAGGTAACTTCACTCACACAGAATACTTGGATGCCGCATGTATTACATAGAATACTACTAAAAGTACAGTGACTCTACTATTAAAACTGATGTCATTGGTTCAAACTATTCTTTTTGTGAACAGCTTTTTAAAAAGAGAGTTCACCACAAGGATTAACATATGAAAGTTTACCTGTGATGTAGAAAAATCTTGATCATTATTTTGCAGAAAGAAACAATGAATTTAATAAGAAAGGAACAACAATAAGAAGAGAATATGATTTGGATGTGATGCCCAGGACACAATTGGGTCTACATTTATTTTTGCTCTTTTACCTCTTTCCTTTTTTCGTGGAGGGTGGGGGGTGTTGTTTGTTTGAATTTCTTTGGTGGGAGAATACATTGAATGGTTTAGAATATTCCTATGTAGAATGTATTAATATTCAAAAATTGGCACAGAATGGAAAATACAAGTGAAGATCATTCTCAATCAAGTCCAAGCAAGCTCATATTCACCAAGAATTTTACACACTGTGAGTGAGCTACTCAGGAGAGTGACCAGATCTCCACGACAGCGAGGCCTGCTGTTCTCTCCCCTGTGACAAAGCTGCTCTCCGTGGGACACAGTGAGAGGACAAGGACAGTCCCTCCCTGACAGTTATAAATAGCACAGCAATTTCAAGTGTAATTTCAGGATAAAAAGTGTCTCATACCTAAACAATGACCTAGGAAATATGATCATTCAACTATGTACCTATATGCCATCTAATTCTATGTATAAATGGAACCCTTGGGACGATTTCACCAAAATTCTAAACCACAATATCATAATCCAGCATGTCAGTGACTATTAACCTTCACCTACTGTCTGTGTGAGTGTGTGGGAAAAGACTGGAAAATTCTGACACACTTGAAGTGAAGAAGAAAAGATTATAGACCTGAAGAAATGTGGATATAAAATCATCCCAACTCTTAGTAAGACAGCCTCCTGTTAATAATCAGAGAATGACACCTATGTCTCCAAACCAAAAAAAAATCTATAGAAAAAGGCCTGAAATGAACTAGCAATTTAGAATTGCAACCATATAAAATTAAAGCTTACTGAAGCCCTCTTTTAAAAAAGTAAATTATAATAGTAAATACAATAATATAGTGGAACAGTCTGGGTATAATATTTTCTAGCACTATCTCTCCAAATAACATTGCAATAGCTCCACTTCACTTCTTCCTCCAATACACATACAGACATGCATGCACATGCAAACACATATTTGCACAAAACCACAATAGATGCCATCTATCTCATAATACACATTACTTTCCAAATAAACTCAGTGATTATCTCAGTTAAAAACTAGCCCTTGTTCTAATAATACTTAATAATATCTGATTTTCTGTTCTTAGATGTTTCAAACAATCTTTTCAAATATGTTTC